GTCATTTAGTATTCAAACAACAAACCTACATCATGACAAAAACATTTCTTACTTAAATCATAAGTATCAATACATAGTCTTGTGTATTATCAGGTTGAGACGAACCACAATCGGTTGTTTGACTAACTGCTTTTCGACGACTACTTGAACTTCTGTGCGTCGGCCTAGGAGCTGGCCTCAGACTTGGACATTTATAACGAAATGTCCACTCTGGTGGCATCGACTGCAAGTTTTTACTATCGGTTCCTCGTCTCGTGACGGGATACGGTCACCGTTTCGTGGTCTGCCAAAGTTTTGTATATCCATGGGAGGCGATAGAATGAGCATACGTTCGTTGGGAAACACATATTCAGCTTCAGCTTCAGTATATTCAAAATTTCTACTGCAACAGAAACATCTTCATCCATATATCTAACTCCCACAAAGTTTTTGACTGTTTCGGAGACTGGTCCGAAGACTGGATCAGATACTGGTTTGGAGACTGGTTCAAATCTTGAACCAAATAACTATTGTGACATCCATTATTTTTGGATATCAGGTTAGCACCTTTTAGGATCTCTAAGATAAGAATTATATTAGGATCTAGTCAGGTTGATTGGAACTCATCTGACTTAGTTCCCAAAATATAGTTAAGAAAGTCTTATTACGATGGGTAATTGATAAAGTTAGTTTATATAATGCCAAGTTCATTAAAATTCTCCAAACAAAATAAAATTGATATTATAAAAGTCCAAATTTAATTATAAAAGCTTTATTTGAATGTCCAAATAATTTTACGAAAATTTGAGTTTTGGCCTAATACTGATAATTTTATCAGTATTTAACAAATTACATTTATTTTAAATTAAATACTTTGGGCTGAATTTTTTTTGAGTTTTTTGCAAAAATAGGGTAGTTTTGAAAAGTGTTTGTAGAAATAGGGTAGTTTTAGTTTTATTGGTAGAAAATAGGGTTGTTTGTGTGGGACCCACTAATTTWAAAAAATMTGATTTTGTAAATTTACAATTTTTACCCTCCAACTTACATTTTCATTTTTATTTATATCCTTTATTTTGTAAAATTTTATATTTAACCCTTATTATATATTATGTATTAATTTATTTAATTAAAATATATAT